CATTGGATACTGAACCGTGGTTGGCCAAGGGTTACTGAAACAGATAAAGCAAAACCAAATCAGGATGGACTGCTCAGGGCACTGGTTCTTGTTTTAACATTTTTGAGCTTCGAGCTGCATGCCCGTGTGGAGTGACAGAACCTCACGCTTCAGCTCCTCCCTGCTGCAAGGGCCTTCATCCAGTCTGTCCACACTGTCTGCTCCCTGCCCAGGAGTCACGTGGTCGCTCTCGGTTATCAGAGGAACCCCAGTCATGGTAGCGCAGCTCTTACGCTCAAGCTTACTTTTAATAAATAACGGCTCTGCAGCGCAAGAGCAGTGACGGTAGAGAAATTCCAGTACGCCTCTAAGAAGCGATACCGCGCTCTCTTCTCATGAAAGGTCATTCTTGTGGAAGGAAAAAGAAAGTCCACTTGCTGATGTGTTGTGATTGCAGCAGGATGAATCCTCTTCCCAGGACACTATAGAGGAAGACGAAAGCTGTTCTCGTTCTGTTAACAGCTACTCAGGATAAGTGCATGGCTGAGACAGAGAGCGGCAGAACTCTGAGTTCAAGGCCAGCCTGGTCTACATAGTGAGGCACCCGACAGAAAGGGAAAGTAGGCAGCTTTAGAGAGTTAGGCAGGATCTGTGTTTCAGGCCTGCTCTGGAGCCCGGAAGATCAGCCCTGACCATAGGGGGAGTTTTTGTGGGGGTCTCCGGTTTATTGATCTATATGTCTGTTTATTTTTTTGGAAACAGGGTCTCTTCACATAACCCTTGGCTGTCCTGGAGCTCACTATGTAGGCCAGGCTAGCCTCGCTCTTAGAGATCCGCCTGCCTCCATGTCTTGCTACATGTCATGGCTCAAGCCACTGGTCCCGACTCCCATAGTCGTAAAATTGGGTAGTGTGAGCCCTCTCTCCTTTTCAAAATTATTTCAGCTATCTTAATGCCTTTCCACTTAGGCTTCAGACAAGACTCATGATTTCTCCTCCTAAGATTAACTGTGGAAGCAGACATCCCCGAGGCACTGAGCCTTCCGGCCCGGGAGCTCAGAGTGTCTCCCCTTTCCTGAGCTCTTGTTTGATTTTCCTCTTTGGTGTTTTATCGTTGCCAGCATGGTTCCCTGCACCTCTGCGGGCATCAGCCGCACATTTTCTACTGCCGCTGTGAGGTACCACTTTGAAACTTTGGTGTCTATCTAAGCCAGGTATACGGAAACACAGCCACTCAGCGCACAGATCCAGGAGGCCTTCTTCTGTGGAGTCTGTGGGTTCCACACACTGACCATCTGTCACCTGTCTGCTTCTTACTTCATTTGGCTGCCAAGGCCCGCCCAGGACTTGAGCACAATACTGAGGTGCTGTGCAGACGGCCCTTGGTGTCACCCTTAGAGGGGGGATGGCGGGTGTGGGTTCTGCAGAGACGCTCAGGAGGTCGGGGAAGTTCTCTCGTTTCCCCGTTTGTGGAAGCTTTTTGTTCTGGGTGGTGCTTTAGGGCTCCCCAGAGGAACGGAACAGACAGAGTGGTGGATGTTAAGCACATGTGAGAATTTATTAAATCAGCTCACTTGCAAATAGCCACAGCAGCTACCTCACACCCCAGAGGCTGGGGACCCGGCAGCTGCTGGGCATCTCAACAGTCTTCATCTGGTGCCAAAAACCTGGAGAGCTGCTGGTCGGTGCCGGAAGCGTGGAAACTGCAGCTCTGATGGCAGCTACGGAGGCAGCAGCGACACCAGGGCAGGTGAGCCAGGCAGAGGGTGGAAGGCCGAGCCAGCCAAAGGCCAGTACTGGTCCTCTTCCTCGCCCCTTTCTGTTGGGCTGCTATCAGAAGGTTCCGCCCACATTTGGGGTGACTTGCTCAGGTGAGCCTCCCTATCCAGGCAATCCTAACTTGTGGCAAACTGACATTAAAACCAACAGGTGGAAGGACTGTTCAGTGCGTGAAGAGGCCGCAGGGACGGCAGCTTTCATCGTGGTGCCCCGTGGGAGCCTGGCCGGCGTTCTGTGGCTCGGAAGGTGAGTGCACTAAGGGGTTTCCTCCAAAGCTGGGAAAGGCCCCATGACGCCTTGATTTTTCCTCCGTGAGAAGCGCTGTCAGGCAGACCCTACGGGCTTGCAGGGCCGTCGCTGCTGCTTCGGAGGAACGGCCCGCTGCTTCCTCCGAGTGTCACATGGACCTTGTGACGCATCTGCCGTTTGTGGTCTGTCCACCTCTTGCCCTTTAATGCTTGCGGACTCACAGTGAGCGCCGCTTCGTCCGTAATGCTGGTTGTCTGTGACTCCACTTTTCCACAGAACCAGCTTTTAGTTTCATTAATCTTTCTCCACGTTTTTGTTTTCACTTTTGTTGGTTTCCCCCCTCTTTGGGTTTGTTTGTTTGATTTTTTTCCTAATTTATAAAATGACCATTGGCTTTGCAATCTATTGCTGAACTATGGTTTCTACCATTTAATCTGTAAGAGGCTGTTTTACCCCCAGCCAACAGGCTTATGGCTCCCCTGGGGCCCCTGACAGGGTTCTGCTCCCTTCAGTGCTATGGAACCCACTCGCTTCATCTCTGTCGATCCTGCTCACGGCCTGACCCACGGCACTAAGCCAGAACGTGTGTGAAAGAACTAAACAAGTGAGGGAGGGGCATCAGCCAGGCTGCTCCGCACTGTCAGGATGACAAGCTCCGTGGCAAGGTTGACAGGGCCTTGGATCACCTGCTCCTTAATGGCCTTTGTGGCCGCACCTTAGGCAGCCTGGCCCCTCCCACCACTTCCTCCAGCACCTCCAAGTGTGGGTTTCGCAAGCAGAGGTCCCTCCCCCTTGGCTCAGACCCTCTCCACCTTACCTGAGCTATTCTTCAAGCCTCGGCTTGGGCACCATCAGTCTCTGGGGGCTTCCCCGGGTCTGCTCAGCTCTGTCACCTTCCAAGTCACCAGCACCTGCCTCGACCCCTCGACCCCTGGTGCAGGGATCTGTTTCCAATTCCTCTCAGAACCAGTCAGTACAGATTGGATGACAAAGGGAACAAGCAAGTGACTAGCAACCAAGCTTGCTGAGGGATGGGATGGGATGGGGCCTTGGCCCACCTCCGCACTCTGCATCCTCACACGGAAGATGCAGCCCAGGGCAGGGCGCTAGCCATCAGTTGTAGGGGCTCAGCTCTCGGACATCCCACTGTGTGACAGAGGCCGGGGGATGCGGTGGTTTCACCCCAGTTCAGGTGGCTGCAGCCTTGTCACATTCACTAGCCTCGAGAACTGGCTGTGCTTCCTGGCTGTCACTCCCAGTACCTGAAGGTGAGGCGAAGAAGGGCTTTTCTGTGACCCTGAAAACCCCAGCAATGCTGTCCGGGGTAACGGGCCCAGAGCTGACCCACAAGAAGTCTGAGCTGGCTCCCTGGCTCCCAGCCTGGATGATGCCGGGCAGGTTACAAGCTAAGATCACCTTCGCTGATGCTTTAAGCACCGTTCACTGGAAAGGTGTGAAGGAGTGCCCCACCAGGCCTGTGGCTCAGAGGCCTACACTGGTCCAAGCATCCTATGTGAGGACAGAAGGGCAGTGGGGACCTACATCAGCCTCCAGCGGCCGGGTTCAGCCCCACCCCCAGCGCGTGCAGCGGTCCCCAGGGCCGGGCATGCGTGCTGCCGCACAGAGAGAGGCCTGGCTGGGCCTCCTTTGCGGCACCCCCATCCCGGCCAGCCCTGTTCCAGCCCCCTCATCTTTCTCTTTTCTAAAACTCCATTCATAGACACTGCTGACCATATCTCCAAGGTGCGCCTTGATTTGTCCACGGCCAGGCTCCAGCACAGCCCTTCTGAGCCATGCCCCGCAGGTGACTAAAGCAGCAGGGCCGTTTCTCCTGAGCCTGCATCCCACAGTGTGCACGGCCGCCGTGTGTCGGCTCAGGCAGCACGCAGGCTCCCTGGGCTGTTCGTGCCTCTGAAAAATGCACCACCACAGCCGAGGGTCTTTAGGGCCAAAAGGCGCTGGTGCCCAGCGTTTGGCAGACTGAACTCTGATCCCTGCCGTGGAAAGCACCTTCCCAAAGCATCTGAGGGCTGCTCTGAGGACCACAGCTCACTGCTTCTTTATGGCTAATGTGGACAAGGGACGGCGTGAGGAAGACTGGGGGCGGGGGGGAGCTGCAAGGAGCGAGACCACCCACTCACCCTTTGTTTCTCTGGGTCTAGGAAGGCGAGATTCACACAGGCTGCCCAACAGTGACCTTGCCCTCTTGGGGATGGGAGGGCTGTAGGAGCCAGCAAGAGCCAGCCTTTGGTGCACTGGGAAAGACTGAAAAACAAACTCACCAGAATCCAAATCAGGAAAGCCCAGAGCTGGGGTTGCCATGGCAACCTGCAGCAGGCTCCCAGCCTGGCACTCTGTCTCTCTGGGGTGGGGGTCCACACAGGCGGAGTCTGCCCCTCCTTAGGCTTACCCTAGACACTGGATGGGGCAAGGGCACAAGACAGGGCACCTTTGCCCTGTTTAGGGGCCTGCCTGGCATCCACTGTTAGCTGAAACAAGATTACTTCTCTCCCAAATCAATGCCACATGCAAGGGCCCGTATCCTCCCAGCATGTGGCTGCGGCAGCTGTGGCTTCAGCGGCACAGGCTCACTTGCTGCCTGGCGGACAGAGCAGTCCCCTGTGGAGATGCCCTCAGGCCTCATCAGTGCCAGGGGCCTTTGGCCCAGGTGGAAGGACAATGAGATGAGCCTCCAGCCTGAGCAGGGAGGGGACAGTTGAGGGGACAGCTGAGCGCCCAGCGCTGGCGTGGGGCTTTAGGTGCGCACACTGTTGTTACTAACAGTACTCTTCTCTAGCTAAGAGGTCAAATGACTTTCAAAGTGAAGCCACCCAAGGTTGCCAACTCTTAGGCCAGGCCTTCCTCAAGCGGCCTGTTCCTGCAAGCCCTGGGCTGGCCAGCATGACCTCCAGGCCCATCACCGGTGCTCACTACCCTCAGGGCACAAGGCAGGGTCCCCCGTCACAGGGTGGAGTAGGCACGAGAGACAGACCATACTCTGCACATCGGTTTAATGGCCAAGCCAGCTCTGTCCAGAGAAAGCTCATGCCCCAGTCAGTAAGTCCTCCCTCCTGGGTGATGTACCTTGAAGAGCCACCCAAGCTCACACTACTGCATCCCAAGTCCAGTCCTGGCATCACGGTGGCGGCCTCATCTAAGTTCCTTTAGCAAGCTGTTGATGGAGGCCAGCAGCTCCCGGAAGTAGCCTTCATCTTCACCTTCTTGGAGTTCCAGGGAGGCCAGCGCTTGGTATTCTGCTTGGAGACTGCCCAGTGTCCTGCTGAGCTGGAGGTCTTGACGGTAGCGATCCCGGCAGGTGGCCAGGAGGGCACCCAGTGTCTGCAGCACCTTCTCCCGAGCATCGTGCTCTGGAAGGGCCAGGAGGTGGGCGGTGATCTCACACCAGCCCTGCTCCCTCAAGCCTGGCAGCAGGTGCACCTGGCGATACTGCTGCAGCTTCTCCGGGGATGAATCCTGGGTCAGCTCTGCCTCCTCCTCAGCAAACATCTGCACAGCCAGGGTGAGGCGGGGAGAATACAGACATCAGTCATCTGGCTCTGGGCTAGCCCTTCCTATTAGGGGATGCTTAGCTACTTTCTATATGACTTTGGGCCTCTGGGGACCTCCTGGGAGGCAAGCAACTAGATTCCTGACTTCTTATATGCCCCTTCATCCATCTGTGTGTCCATTCGTCTATCCATTCATTGGAATACCAGCTCACAGTGTTAGGCTCTGGGAAGCCAAAATGGGGACCCAGTCCCTGCTCCCAGGGTCTAGCAAGTGAGTAAGAATTCCTACATGTGGCTGATGAGATGGCTTAGTGAGTAAAGGCACTAGCTCCATACACCTGACGACATGAGCTCAGTCCCCAGAACCACGTAAAGGTGAACAGAAAAACCTAAGCCATTAAGATGTCCTACGGTCCCGACACTTACTTCGTACCATTAGCACCTACACATGCACCCTACACACATACCCATATACATACCACTACACACACCATTTAAAAATACCTAAATGTCATAACAGTTTGCATGACATGGGGCCGCACAGCCTGGATTCAGATTCCTACTCCAGGCCTGGCATGTGGCTCAGGCCTGTGATCCTAGCCCTTGGCCTGCCATATACTAGCCAGCCCCATCCCACCAGTAAGCAGTGGGCACAGAGCCAAGGAGAGCCCTCAGCAGAGGCTGAGAACCCACACCTGAATCTCTCTTCTCAAGACCTAAGTGAACCGGTACCAAATCTCCTCAGGTAACAAACACAGGTCCACCCTGAGCGCCTGCTCAGAGACAAAGCTCCCCGAGGAAGTGTACCCAGGGTTCCAGAATCCCAGAGGTAGTACCAGGCCAGCCTAGCTCTTTGGTCTCCTGGCTGCTGCATGGCTCCCGGGCTCTGAGGCTCCATCCCTCCCACGCCTTCCTCACCATGCCTGACTGCCTGCACACTTGGCACTAACCACCACTAGCACCTCCTCCCTTCCTCCCCAGCCCTCGGGACGCAGCCAGTGTCATGTCTCATAGGGCATCTTCTTTGATACATGTCTCCTCTCTCCATCCATCCATGTGTCTGTCCAGTAAGCTGGACAGAGGCATTTGAGGGGGCACTTTGGTCAAATGGCCAGAAGCAGACAGGGCAGGTGTGGGCACTCACCTTCTCGGTGACCAGGTCATAGAGCAGGGTGACCACACGCACAGCCAGTACCTTCGCACTCTTCTCTTGCACGAGGCTCCTGAGGACCTGCAGGCCTCCCAGCTTCAGGAACTGCTGCTGGGCATAGGGGAAGTGGCGCAGCAGGGAGCACAGTGCGAACAGGACCTGGGGCACATGCCAGGGGTAAGTGAGAGCCGCACAGATTTGTACCAATGCTAAGGCACAGAAAAGCCAGCTGCGGTCATCCAGCCCAGCCTCCATTCCTGGCCCCTTTATCCCCTTGGGTCCATCTGTACCCCAGAACTCAGGGTGATAAAAGCCAAGGGGACCTCAGATAACCCCAACAAAACAAAGCAGGCAAATGGGGGACAAACAGCATGGCTCAGGAAATTGGGGGAAATGCAAGGTCATCGAGCTGCAGCTGTACCCAAGCCTCCAGATGATACTGCCATCGGCATTAGATATTGTGAGCTCTCTGTGATGACAACGGACAGTGCTCAGGACCCAGCGCACGGCATGAGTAGAAAGGAGCCTTTCCCCGTCAGGCCCTGGGGCTATGCTGGATACTGGACAGGGGAGGGGGCAGGCTTGCCTTCTTCTTGGCGGGAAGAGGCTGGTCTGTGGCCAGGATGACCAGTAGCTTCTGCAGAGCTCCACCTTCAATGGCTTCCACCTGGACCTTTGGATTGCTGTGGAGACAAGCACACGAAACTGTGACACTTTGCTGAACTCAGGATCCCGGGAGCTAGGGAGCTAATACCGCACCAGCCTTCCTTGGAAGAGGCAGTGAGAACAAGGGGCGGTTCTTATCCTAGAGAAGTTATTATTCACCTGCGGAAAAAGAGATAAATGTGTACGGACCCACCTGGGTACAGTGGCCTACGGCAGAGAGGAGGGCCACGGCTGCGTGCCAGCCTGCGGCTCCCCAGAAGCCAACCGACTCAGGAACTCTAGGAGAGAAATCACGTCTACCAGCATCAGGCCATTCTGAAACTGGAGCAGCTTCTAGAGGTTCTACTGCACTCTCCCTCCGTGCAAAGCCAGTGCCGGGAGCTCCATCTCCCATGACGGCAGGCAGCCTCACACTAGGCCTCACACTAACGGTCTGTGCTTTCCAGGACAGAGCCAGAGGCCGGGGCCAGGAGCTCATCCTCTCCCCACTCAGCAGTCTATGCACGGTGCACACACATACACACAGACATATACACAAAATAAATAAATCCTTAAAAACTAGGTCAAGCCCAGCCCTCCTGAACATAAAGAGCAGAGCAGGCAGGGGATGCTGGCAAGCCCGCAGAAAGACTCCTTTCGCATTCTTTTCTTCCTTTTGAGACAGGGTTTCTCTGTGTAGCCTTGGCTGTCCTGGATTCACTATGCAGACCAGGCTGGCCTTGAACTCACAGACATCCACCTGCCTCTGCCTACCAAGGTGCTGGGATTAAAGTGTACACCACTATGCCTGGCACATTCCTTCCTTTCTTTTTCTTTCCTTCCTTCCTTTTCTTTTTTCTTTCCTCTTTCTTTCCTTCCTTCCTTTTCTTCTCTTTCTTTCCTTTCTTTCTTTCTTTCTTTCTTTCTTTCTTTCTTTCTTTCTTTCTTTCTT